CGATTTTTCTTCGGCAAGGTTTTAGGGGTTTGGGTTTTGTTTGTTTTGTTATAAGGAGAAAAGTTAAAGTGTGATCAATAAGTGAATCCACATGCGGGTTATATAGCCGGTTATTCGGACTGACGCTCCACTAAACCGTCAACCAAAACCAACCCAGACCGCAATAATGGGTACAAATCCACATGGCAGACCGTCTTGGACCAGCGCAGTGGGGTGGTCGACAGTTCAACCTTGATTGGTGGACCACACCCTCGACTATCACCCATTTTAGCATATATATCGACCACATTGGGTCATACTATTCCATACTATCGATTGTGTAAACACAGTAATACAAATACAAAAACGGCGTGATCGTATTCCCATTATAATGAACTCAGTCGACAAAACCGAAGATACAAATATGGTAGTGACGCGATCCCATTCTGTTAAACCCAGCACCCTGGAGTCCTCGGGGTGTGAACCAGAGTATGCCCCTGAATCGCCAGCGTATGTTCCAGCATCCCCCGAGTATGCACCAGAATCCCCAGTGTATGTTCGACCCGAAACTACCAGACGCGTCAGTAGTAATAATACCACCCCGCAATTGGTGGATACGAGAGACTCGCAAGTCCTCTATATTTCATCTGCGTTCGACCTGGAATCTGATTTCGAACGAGAACTTGCGTCCGACCGCAGTATGCTCTAACAACTAGTGACTAGTGGTGAGTTCGACCCCTTCGAATTGATCCCCACCTCGCAGAATATCCAAAGTATGGGTATTCAGGAAGATATGGTTCCGCGATGTCTACACTTGTATGAGAGTGGCGTAGTCTTTCGAGAGGAGGTTTGCCCTAGAACTTCAATTACCTTGGCGGATATTCTGAGTGTTATCCCCCAAACCACACGTGTCCCGAACGCGGTGCAGTACTTTATACACTTCCTAAAATCTTGGGACTTGGCCCACTGTGTACATGTTATTATTTCACGTAGTCTTCTAGACGAGAATGCCGGTGTACCTATTTCGTTCAAGATCAATGAGCTGGAATTGTTTTGAGACAGAACTAATTCCCCGGTGCGTTCCGCACCTCCTGCCCGGGTTGCCACTTAGCACGCATCAAAACCATAACACACACACTTCTTCTTCTTAATAAAAAGCCCGAACCCTAACTTGCTCTGCGCTGTTCTCGTACATTACCGGAAAGCGTATCACGTCTGGGTTTGTGCCCAACCCCCACTACACGGACTATCCCTAGTTCCGATATTCGGAACTAGGGGGTTTTACTTAGGTTTACATTTAAGACCAGAAACCCTACCATCTTTAAATTGGGTTACGTTTCACGTCCCACACATGCCCAATCTCACTAACGATCAAGTTTGTTTTTGTTATCGAAAACAGTAGCAACTCGTATAGTTTCTTTAACATTTATTAATGAACTTGGTTTGAAAATCTAAACGCCTACTAGTTGCAAAGTTGGCACAATGCCGTCGATTCGTACACCATGACCTTAGACAGTGTCTTACCTTCTAGTACGCGGCAAGTCCTAACCTTGTGGACCTTGACTACATTCGAACCTGAAATACGGAACCCAAATCGAATACGGTCAGTTTCGTCAACAGGCTCATCCGCGTTCAAACTACTACTCGAGTCTTGGTCCGAACGTAGCACAGGCGGCAACATTGCACTGGGTGCAATCGGTACTGGTGACAATTTGCTACTCTCAGCGCGTGCAAGCTCAATGTTAGCGGGTGCTACAGTTAACATGTTACAGTTCTTACACATGTCGGAAGTGTTGGTAATTGCAATTTCAGTTAGCTCCTTGTTCCTCAGTGACCGATACAGATTCGAGCTGTGGACCTTAGCTAATTTGGAGCCCGAAATGACAAACCCGATTTGGGTCAGTTGTTGGGTGGGTAGCGATTCTGGGACCGACACCTGACTTGGTCTGACTGTAGGTGGTGGTGGTGGTATATCAACAAAGGTTTCACTGGACACATCGTAAAATCCATAGTGCTCAGTGTTATCTGCAGTTTCTCCATCATCATACACGTCGGGGTACAATGGACCGATATCACTGGACACGTCGTAAAATCCAGAGTGCTCAGTGTTATCTGCAGTTTCTCCATCATCGTATACGTTGGGGTACAGCGGTCCGATATCACTGCGTGCATCGCAAAACCCATAGTACTCGTCGGTAAGGTCAATTTCGGGATCATACACCTTAGGGTACAACGACCCCGTGTTACTGGGGTTATCATAAACATCATAGTACTCGTAGCGATCGTTAGTTTCAACGTCATCATACACGTTGGGGTACAACGAGCGGGTCGCACCAGCCCGTTTCGCACGAGAGTCCAAGACTGCAATCTGGGATAGTAGAGTAGCAACGTACTCGTCTTGGTTGATCTTCTTGACCGTAGATTTGGGGACCGTTACAAACATGGTCACTCTCACTCTCACCCAGTGTATATTTAAAAGTGTGTTGGGTGAGAGGCAAAACTCACCTATTTATACATATTCGTATAGAGAGTCTCCGGTTTGGTGGGGAGTTCACCGTTCAGACGTGGTTGGTGAACGCGAATAGGGGTTAGGGTGTTTTGTTGGGCATAGCAAAACAATACCTTGAGGGTTTAGGGAACCCTAACTTGCTCAGTGTATCTTCCCCAATAAAACCACCTAACCCCTAAACCCCTACCGACAAAAAGGGGGGTTTCGTCGGACAGAACACACGCAACCCGACAAAATAGTACCTCTAACGTATAAGTCCATTGTTTTAGGGTTCGTTTAATTGACTTTTATATACCCTGTTAAAACCCTAAAACCCCCCCTATCCTACTTGGTTGTTGTTGGCTAGCGCACAGGTCGAGCTCCAGCACTCGTCAAACAGGGTTTTAAACGCCATCAGTTCCATGAGACCACCACTGCAGTCCCGAATTAGGAATTTAACAAACAGTGCTTTACAAAGTGGGCTTTTGTGTTCAAGGCTGTACTTCCCGATACGGGGGTTATAATATTCACAAATTATCACCGATATCTCCTTCTTCAGCTCACCCGCTTCGTGTTTCACGTCTAAACCCGAAAAGAGCCCGGGCTTTTCGATGATTAGCTTCTGGAGTTTATATACTACCGACTGTCCCGAGGTTCGATTTAGACCAATCGACGACACAAGGACACTACAGTTATGCAGCTTGGGGTTGCTTAACAGATATTCCCTTGCACGAATTGAACCAACTCGTCTGTATTCACCTGAGGAACTCGACGTATACTTTCTCTTTCGGGTTACGGTATCATCCGGCAGCCCCGAGAGTGTAGATTCATTTAGTATCCGTGGTGCAGGTGTAGGATTTGTTCCAGTTATAGCGTCGTCCAACGTTACGGTTTCGGGTGGTGGAGTATCGGGTATTGGTGTGGCCGTGGTTGTTGATAAGTGTGTTGACGATGTTGTAGTTGTTGGTTCGGTCACAGCGTCGTCCAACAACGCTGGAGATACAGGTGGGGGTGTATTTGGTTGGATTGGTGTAGGTGTGTTTAGGGGTGTCACTACAACCTCCATACACGCATCATGCGCACAGTCAGATTCGGTGTGGATCAAGCGAAGCGCGTCACCAAATCCCACCATCATCGGTCCAAGTGTGACCTGATCTTCCAAGTTTCGCTTTATGTTAGCACACGCAACTAGTTTTACATGGACCCCAGCGTCTACACACGCAATCTGCGCTATCAACAGTTTAAGTTCGCTCTCAAGATGTACATGTCTCGCCTTCAAGGCATCTCTACCATACATCAGTCAGTCACAAATGCGCCTATACAGGTGATCCACGGGACCAAACATATCAAGTTGTGGCAAGGAGTATGTTCTCCCAATTATTTCACAGAGGTGCTCGCAAAGGAGAATTCGTTTCTCAAACCTCGTATAGGATTCGTGAGCCGCGGCACACAGCTTAGACTTTTCCATTATATCTTCACTTCCCTCCAGGACTCCAATTAGGTTTTTTGAGGTGGCGTCAGAGGCAACCTTAGTGTTGCGTTTCCACACATAGTGCAATCTCAGAAGTTCCAACATTATTGGTGTTGTAGATTGTGCCACGTTTTTGTCTTCACTCCCACTCACTCAGTGTATATTTAAAAGTGAGTTGGGTGAGAGGCAAAACTCACCTATTTATACATATTCGTACAGAGAGCCTCCGGTTTGGTGGGGAGTTCACCGTTCAGACGTGGTTGGTGAACGCGAATAGGATTTAGGGTGTTTTTTTGAGCCAAGCAAACCAATACTTTGAGGGTTTAGGGTGTTTTTGTTGTTGTTAATATTGAGAAGAGGATAAGAGTCGGATTTTATGTTTGGTCCATAATTTACTTGGTTTTTATCTCTCAATGTTTACGGTTAGCGTATAATGGAGACTTGAGAAATTTCATCACGAATAACTTTTATTAACAATAATTATGTCTACTCTCACGGTATGTCCGTCACTAATGTGCCCATCGCAAATGCCCTTGGGCTCTCTCTTGCTCAAAATCTAAAGTGGAGGGGGAACTTGAGATCCTTCATTACCGTGCGCTTAAACTCCGAGTGTTGGTACCAATCGACGTTACTGTCGAGAATCACTGTTTCGTGCCCATCCTCTTCAAATACCTGTCTAACCACAAACTTAATGTCGGGGCACACTCGGCGCCACACGGCTTGGGTGCTTGTATCGATCGGTTCGTGGGTCTCGACAAGTAGGAGGTTGGTGGCGTTTTGGGGAACGCGATCCGGTAGTTCCGGTACTTGGAGGAATAAGACGGACGATGGCAGCTGTTCCAAATCGTGCCCATTCTGACACACCGAGAGGAACCTCAACTGAGTGAATTTGGACAACAAGTGCATATTACGTACTTTGAATATAAACGTAAGGGACTCAATGCTGTCTACACCCGATATATAACGGGTGAGGTCCTCAGTAAATGCGTAGCTGTTAACGTGTCGCACCGAGTTGTTCTGAAGAACCTTGTCCAAGTAGACGGGGTTACAAGTCATAGGTCTCGAGAGACGGGTGGGTTCCGAAACTTGAATGTACTGGGGGAAGGCGAGCGTCGTATCTTCCATGTTTCCATGATGTTCTTCCATCATCACTGGGGCCGGGTGCGAGCTCAAGTACTTGGCTAGAAGTCCCTGGTCCTTGATAACATGGCGTAGCTCGTACACAATGTGTGTAAGAGCGAATGGACGCGAGAACCGGACGTCCGACGAACCACCGGTACGAACAAACTCATCAAGTGCACCTTCGTCGCCATGCAAGTGTTTAGACGACCGCGGCATGGCCATGGCCAATTGATGGCGATCGGCAGCGTTTAGAATGCCATAGACATTGTCCTGTAGGATTTCAGAGGGTAGCGAATTTATGGTTGGAGTGGCGGGTCTTCAGGTTGTTATTACTGTAGAGATGCTGAGAGTGTGAAGTTGAGATGGATCGAGACTACGGTTTTATACTAGTCGCGTCGGCAAAATGAGGCACCGATTATGGGTGGTTGACCGGTCAGACGTGGTTGGTGAACGCGAATAGAATTTAGGGTGTTTTTTTTTAGCCTAGCAAACCAATACTTTGAGGTTTTGGGGTGTTTTTTTGAGCCTAGCAAACCAATACTTTGAGGGTTTAGGTTGTTTTTGTTGTTGTTAATATTGAGAAGAGGTTTTTAGGGTTTTATGTTTGGTCTATAATTTACTTGGTTTTTATATCTCAATGTTTTACGGTTAGCGTATAATGGAGACTTGAGAAATTTCATCACGAATATCTTTTATTAACAATAATTATGTCTACTCTCACGGTAAGGTGGATGACATTAACCCGAGTAACTTGACGGGCACTCCCTTGTACTTTCATCCTTTGGTCGTTACTAACCTGGAGCAAAGCAAGAACCCGTACGACGGAGAGGTAAATGCCTATGATGTGGACGTGTGGGCGTTTGCGGTTCTTGTGCTGGCCATATTTAGTCACGGTTATGCGTGGGAATCAGCCAGCCTAACCGATAGCGGCTACCGAAAATTCAAGTCCTATACTCCCAACACTCCAGATACGTGGGTCGAGGACTATCGGATCGTGCACATGGCCAATTTGAACCACAATGTCGTGGCTGAAAACATGGTGTACACTGCTCTGCGGATACTGCGAACTTGCGAGTCTCGATGTCCACTTGAAAACCGGGGAACAGCAGACCTTGAGGCATTTTCCTGGCGCCCGTAAACAAAAGTATCTTGGTTTGTAACCTGATACACTTTTCTTCTTCTCAATAATCCCTAAAAAATAAACAAAGGACTCGTTCCTCTTCCTCTCAATCTCTAAAATATACAAAGGACTCGATTCTCTTCCTCTCAATAATCCCTAAAAAATAAACAAAGGCCTCGATTCTCTTCTTCTCAATAAACCCTAGACCCCGACCCCGACCCTAAACCTTAAACTCTTTAACAACAACAAAACCCTATAACCCCAAACCACGTGTGTGGTATGCATGAGTCATTGTGGCCAGTAGTCGGGGGCGGTTCACCGATCGCCCCTAACCGGTCAACCACCCTTGATCGGGGCTTCATGTTGCCGACGCGACTAGTATAAAACCGCTGTCCCGATCCAGTTCAACTTCACAATCTCAGTCTCACCGATTTAGTTTTTTGCGTATAAGAGCGGCTGGCCCAAATCCCTTGAACGATGACTGCCCCTACACTATTTGGCTTATCACACGATTGTCTCCGACGCATTCTTGGTTTTCTTAATCCTCCGAGTGCGCTGGAACTGTGCGTAGCGTACGGACGACCCGAAATGATGGATTGGTTTTACGAAGACGGAGGAGTGTACACATACGACGGGACAGATCATTTTCTACCCACTAGACATATTAAACATTTGCGCTATACTGACGTATCACCGAACGTCGACGAATTGGCTGCATACACCGGCTTGCACACCCTTGACCTGTCGGATAGCAAGATAACGAACGTTGACGCACTAGTTGCATGTACCAGCCTGCACTTACTTGACCTGGGTAGATCCAGGGTAACAAACGTTGACGCACTGGCCGCGTGCACTAGCTTGCACACCCTAGTCCTGACCGGTACTGGAGTAACGAACGTTGACGCCCTGGCCTCGAGTACTAGCTTGCACATACTTGACCTGAGTAGATCCAGGGTAACAAACGTTGACGCCCTAGCCGCGTGCACTAGCTTGCACACACTCTTCCTGTGCTCGACCTATATGACAAACGTCGACGCCCTAGCTGCGTGTACCAGCCTTCACACACTTTACTTGAACAAAACTGAGGTAACAAATGTGGACACCCTAGCCGCAAGCACTAGCTTCCACACACTTCACTTGCACTCAACCATGGTAACGAACGTGGACGTCCTGGCCGCGTGCACTAGCTTGCACTCCCTCGACCTGTCCGGTACTGAAGTAACAAACGTCGACGCCCTGGCTGCGTGTACCAGCCTTCACACACTCATCTTGCATATGACCAACGTGACAAACGTCGACGCCCTGGCTGCGTGTACCAGCCTTCACATACTCATCCTGCATATGACCAAGGTGACAAACGTCGACGCCCTAGCTGCGTGTACCAGCCTTCACACACTTTCCCTGAGTACCCGGGTAACAAATGTAGACGCACTAGTTGCGTGCACTAGCTTACACACCCTCGACCTGTACGGGACCGCGGTGACAAACGTCGACGCCCTGGTAGCGTGCACTAGCTTGCACACACTTAACTTGCACTCAACCATGGTAACAAACGTCGACGCCCTGGCCGCGTGCACTAGCTTGCACTCCCTCGACCTGTCCGGTACTGAAGTAACAAACGTCGACGCCCTGGTAGCGTGCACTAGCTTGCGCAAACTTAACTTGCACTCGACCAGGGTAACAAACGTCGACGCTCTGGCCGCCAGCACCAGCTTGCGCAAACTCAACCTGTACTGGACCAGGGTAGCAAACGTTGACGCCCTGGCTGCGTGCACTAGATTGCACAAACTCAACTTGCAATCGACCGGGGTAACAAACGTCGACGCCCTGGCCGCCAGCACCAGCTTGCGCACACTCGACCTACGCTCGACCAAGGTGACAAACGTTGACGCCCTAGCTGCGTGCACCAGCCTGCGCACACTCTACCTACACTCGACCAAGGTGACAAACGTTGACACCCTAGCCGCGTGCACTAGCTTGCTCATACTTAGGTAGTAAAACGAACAGTGATACCCTAAACCCTAAAATTAAAACCCTAAGAACGTCGTTCCTCTTCCTCTCAATCTCTAAAAATAAACAAAGGACTCGATTCTCTTCTTCTCAATAAACCCTATACCCTGACCCCGACCCTAAACCCTAAACTCTTTAACAACAACAAAAACCCTATAGCCCCAAACCACGTGTGTGGTATGCATGAGTCATTGTGGCCAGTAGTCGGGGGTGGTTCACCGATCGCCCCTAACCGGTCAACCACCCTTGATCGGGGCTTCATGTTGCCGACGCGACTAGTATAAAACCACTGTCCCGATCCAGTTCAACTTCACAATCTCAGTCTCACAGATTTAGTTTTTTGCGTATAAGAGCGGCTGGCCCAAATCCCTTGAACGATGACTGCCCCTACACTGTTTGGCTTATCACACGATTGTCTCCGACGCATTCTTGGTTTTCTTAATCCTCCGAGTGCGCTGGAACTGTGCGTAGCGTACGGACGACCCGAATTGATGGATTGGTTTTACGAAGACGGAGGAGTGTACACATACGACGGGACAGATCATTTTCTACCCCCTAGACATCTTAAACATTTGCGCTATACTGGCGTATTACCGAACGTCGACGCCCTAGTTGCGTGCACTAGCTTGCGCACCCTCTGCCTGGACGATTCCGAAGTAAGTAACGTTGACGCCCTAGCCGCATGTACCAGCCTGCGCACACTTAACCTGAAGTGTTTTAGGGTGACCAATGTCGACGCCCTGGCCACGTGCACTAGCTTGCGTACACTTAACCTGAGTAGAACCAGGGTTACAAATGTCGACACACTGGCCGCGTGCA